CGACTGCAGCAGCCGCGCCGTCAGCATGTTGGTGGGCGTCTTTTCGAGCAGCAGCGGCCGCTCGAGGCCAGCCTCGCCCCAGTAGTAGCCCCACTGGGAGAGCAGCGCGTCGCGGCTCGCCAGGGAGGCGAGCGGCGACGCCTCCGTCAGGTGGGCGCCCGGGTCGAAGCCGTACCGCCCCACCCCGCGCGCCGGCGGAGAGCCGACCCGCCGGACGCCGGCGCGGAGGCAGTCCTCGCGCTCGCGCCCGACGCCAAAGGTGGGCATCACAGACTGCAAGAAGGCGCCCTCGGAGAAGTCGCCGTCCGTCCGCTCGGCAAAGGCGCCCACCTGAGGGTGCAGCCGCAGCAGCCGCCACAGCAGCGTCGTGCCGCCGCGGTGCGGGCCGGCGATGAAGAGGAAGCGGTGGCGCCGCGCCATCGCCTCGGCCTCGGCGGCGCTCAGCCGGAGCGTCTTGGCCGAGGGCGGCAGCAGCATCATCCAGAGCGAGTAACGCGACGAGAGCGGCAGGATCACGGCGCCGATGATTATGGCAGACCCGGCCGCCGCGATCAGCCACGGCAGCAGGTTTGGCCGGCCGCGCCGGCCGACCTTTCGCAGACCATTCTGCTGCCGCTGCAGTGGCTCGCTCTCCTCGTCGTCCGAGAGCTTCATGAGGCGGCGGCGCGGGTACCCCGGTGTGAATGTCAAGCGCGAAACGAAAGCTGCGACGGGAGATCGAGCGCCACAGCTTGGGTAAGACGGGGCGGCTCATGACGATGGACGAACTGGCAGCACTGTCCGACACACCTCATCTTTGCCGGCGAGGCAGGCCCCTTCCTTCCGTGCTCAAGTTGGGTGACGTGGCGCCGCTCGCTCCCGAAAGACCTCGAACGGGCGCGCCCAGTAACGTGCCTGGATGCGATATACAAGGTGGTCGATGCGGCGATAGCACGGAGGCTCGAGGAAGCTGCGCGCAGGCACGGGCTCATCTCGGCGAATGCGTTCGGCTTCGTTTAAGGGCGGATCGACTGAGTGGCCGATCAGCCTGGTGGCCGCCGCGCAGTGGCATGCGACGCCTCCCCGAGCTTGAGGAGGAGCCGGCGGAGGGGAGGGGCGAGCCGAGAACGATAGAAGGCCGCGGGTGCGGGCGCGATTCGTCGACCAAGAAGAGCCGGCCCGACCCCCCGGGGAGGGGAGGCGATATAACCCAACGCCGCCGCCCTCGCCCAGGGAGTTCGGGCACGGGATCGCCACCCGCGGAGTTAACGGGATCAGACAGAGAAGGCGAGACGGCGGCGAGGCCGCGGTCGAAGAAGTATAAGAGGGGAAGGCGGGCTCCGCAGCCGACGCCTGACCATCGGAAAGCGAACAGGAGGGAGGACCGGGAGGAGAGGGGAGCCCCTTCGGATGGGGGGTGGGGAGATCGGGCGGAGGGGCCCTGAGTGGCGATGTCGGGTGAGAGTGTACGTCATGCTCGTGTCTGGTGTTTACTAGCTCCGAGTAGAGGGGGCGTTCCGCCGCTAGGGGACACCCAAAGCGCAGAACCAAACCTCGGAGACCTGTGTTTACTTTACGGCCCTTTCCCTGCGAACGCGCACCCCCAGGGCTAGGGCTTTCTTGTGCCCGCAACCCGATGCCAATCATCCGGCCCGCTGGGTGCGCTTCTCAGCTCCCCGGCCCTGGATGTGAGGTTTGATGACTGCACTCCAAGTGCTCCAAGTGCAACGCACTCTCTCACATGACAAGCGATCCCACGACAGCGATTGTGGGGACTACATGATTACATGAAGGGTGGAGGGGCCCGTCCGCGGAGCTAGGCGGTACGGGCGCCCTCCACTGGGGCCGAGGGTAAGAGGACGTCTGCCGCTTGCTTGTTCTTGACGTCGTTGACCCAGTTGGCACGCTCAGGGGAGTTGAGCCAGTTGATACGCGTATTGCGCGCCTGCTTGTTGATGTTCTCGGCGTCGCCCGCCACCGCCGCCATGGAGATCTGCTGCGTGTGGTGGACGACGAAGGAGGAGGCGCTCGCCGACGCCGCCCCGTACACCGTCCGGTCCGTGTTGGTGCCACCGCTTCCTTGGCGAACACGTGTACAGCTGCCGCAAAGCTCGCATCCGCCGTTTGTGCGTGCCCGCCGAGGCCGCAGCCACCGAAGCGCCCGTCCTGCTGGGCCTCCGCCCAGGCCTGGTCGATGAGCTCCTGCGGGCTGTGGCCCGCCTCAGCCAGCAGCACAAACGACTTCTTGAGCGCCGGCTCCACCACTTCCTCGAGCACTGGCCGGACCACACACGGGTACATCGTGCGCATCCAGTAGAACGGCGATCGGCGTCGGCAGCGCATCATCGAGTACCGCAGCTGCCGGACATCGTGGTTCTTGTCGTCGTCTCGAAGCTGGTCGACCCTCTCGAGGACCGAAAAGCGCGCCGTAAAGTCAGCCGAGAGCTTGTCGCGCTGCCCGACTTCCGCCCGGCCTCCGTGTCCGGGGCCAAGTACACGCCGACTAGCTTGAGGCCGACGAGCTCGCCGCCCTGCATCTCGAGCTGCTCCGCCGGGATGCCCTCCACTCCGCCTCCAGGCCGAAAGTACTTCACCTTCTTCACGTTGGACACCGTGTTGCAGAGCGCCTTCCTGTTCGCCTTGAGCGCCTTGTGGCTTGTGCACATTCTCGGCGTCAGCGCTGGCCGCCCTAATCGACGTGTCGTCAGCCTGGATGACGAACTCCGCCTTGGGGTACTTGAGCTGCGTCTTGCGCAGCGCCTTCTGGTAGGGGAGGCAGCATCCGTTGGTGGCCAGCACGCAGCCCTGCTGGCCGCCCTGGCCCAGCGGCCTCTGCCGACCCGACCGCCTTCATGCGCACCGTGGCCGCATCGTCCGACGGCGAGATGTCAATGAAACGATAAGCAAAGCCGCCAAGCAACACCCAAACTTTTCGGGCGCCAGCTACGCCCCCGGGGCCTAAAAAAGAAAGAAAACAGACAACCCAAACGAGGGATAGGGGAGGAGGACAGGGTCCCCACCTGCACGAGCAGGATTTTGGAAGGACGATCAGGGGGTCGGACAGGTGGGGCTCTCCTGCTCCTGACAAGCACAAGGGACACGACAGGCTCGCAGCGCGGTGCACGGTGGACTCCCACTGTCCCACATCCACTGGCGGTCTCATCTCAGTCTGGCGACCTGCCTCCAGCTGGGGGCCTGAAAGAAAGAAAGAAAACACACAACCCAAGGGAGGGATGGGAGGACGGCACGCCGCCACCACACAGGGATTTTAAGGAGAGGTGTGTGGTGCGCTAGCCGTCGCCCACCCTAGGGAGTCTGCCTCTTCCTATCTCTCTTCGCAGTCTCTCTCCGATTCTCGCTGCAACCTTCATGCCACCTTCCACTCGCGGGGCGGTTGTTTAAAATTCTTTCGCCTCCGCGTTCAGGAGCTCATGCAGTCCTCGCCGGTGGAGAGCTCGCCGGTCCACGCAGGAGGCAGATACGCTGGCTGCGCTGGCGCCGCGAGCGTGCGGCTCGACGTGATCTTCGACCAGCACCGCATCCCATCGCCTCGCCGGCCCGAAGCACCGGTGGCGGCGCCAGGCATGGCCGGCCTCACGTCAGTGGAGGCGGCTCGCATGCCCGCAGGCCGCAGCAGCGTCGGCAGCCTCGGCGCCAAGCACATGGCGGGCTCTCTTGTGCATGCGGCCGAGGCAAAGGAAGACACTTCGGTGGAGTTTCGACGGCCCCTGTCCGCGCGCTCGTCGCTCGGGGACCGCGCCTACCACGGCTCGCTCGACGCGGCGCTCCACCCAAGGCCAGGCGCGTCGAGCGTCGCGCATCTCGCCGCAACCGCCTCACCTCCCATATTCCCGCCTCGTCCACACGCTGCAGGGACCGACTCGACGGCACTGCTCGTGCCGTCAACGCTCGCGGCTCTGCCAGCGACGGCGCTGCCGGGCGGCGGCGGGGATGCTGCAGCACGTGGATGCGGCCGCGCACACTTCCCTCCCCCCGCAAGCAGCCTCGGGGTCGGCATGGCTGCGCTCGAAGCGCCCGCTGCCACCGCCGGCGAAGCTTGCGCGGCGCCAGCGCACGGCTCCTCGCGCCGCGCCTCCGCCGCTGCGCGCGCCTCTTCGATCTTTAGCGACTCGAGTTACCCCGGTGCTCGGCAGCGCCAGCACGCCCCTCTCCCACCTCGCGCTCAGCCTCGCCTCGCCCACCCCCCACCCCCCCGTCCATAGAGCCGCCTCCCGTGGGCGTGCCGTCGGGCCGACCGCTGCGTGCGCGCTCGCCTGCTCCGCCGCGCTCGACCTCGCCGCCACTCGCGCTGCGCGGGCCGCATGCGTCGGCAGTGGCCCACGTACCAGGTTAGCCTGGAGTTCCTGCTCCTCCGCCAGCTCCTCGCGCGTCGCCGTCCACCGGCGCAGCATCTTCATGTCGAGCGCGAGTCCCTGCTCCTCCTCGGGGGTGAGGCGGCTCCGTATCCGCTCGGCCACCTCCTCCGCCGCGGGCCGCTCCGGCATCTGCAGCACCGAGGCATCACACATGGCGATGGACCTCGCAGAGGCGCAGGCTCGGCCCGGCCGGCCACGGCGCGCAAAATTGGAACCGGCGGCGACGAGAGGAGCGCCGCGGGCGACGGCTGGACGCCAAAAAGAGCTGCCGCTATCAACATGGCGCAGCGACACCGCCGAGAAGCGAGATGCAGAAGCGGGCTGCAAAAGAGCACCTTTGGCTTGATCGGCAGCTCTGAGCTCGAAACCCCAGGGCTTCGACGACATACTTGAATATAGGAAAGAAAATCATCAGGCATTAAATCACGCGAGCGGGAGGCATCACCATGCGGAATAGACGATACACAGACGAACACACACACGTCACACCGCGCCACTCTCACAAGCTCGCTCACCTACTAATATTTAACATCCACTTAGAAGCGGACTTCTTCACGATTTGAGCGCGTCGCGCCCAGCGGCTGGAGAGTGGACTCCCCCTCCCCGGCGCCGCCGGCAGGGCCCGCCGGCAGGGTCACGGCTCGGTCAGGGCAGCTCGCCGCAGAGCAGGTTCTTGGTGCGCGCGAACGCTTCCGCCCCAAAGACGCGCGCGCGGTTCGCATTGTCGGGCGACGAGTCCGCGGCGACCCGCCGGATCACCGCGTCCCGCCGCGCAATCTCCGCGGCCCTCGGCGGCGGGACCTCGTCCGCCGCGTCGACAAAGCCGGACCACTGCGCCGCCAGCTCGCGCACGGCGGAGGCCGCCGCCTCCATGTTTGCCTCCGTGCCGTCGAAAAAGTAGCGCAGCCCCGACGGCGCCTGCGCGCCGCGCGCGTACGCCGAGTCGGAGACGTATGCTTCAAAGGCTGGGTCGGCGGCCATGGCGAAGAAGCGGTCGTTGAAGGGGGCGTAGTACCTCTCCGCGTACGCCGCGTCCGTGTCCGTGTCCACGCGCGGCACGAGCTCGAGCCGCAGGAAGACGCGGTCCGGGTTGACGGCCGAGCCGGACCCAAAGTAGAGCGTGAAGTTGGGCACGTCGACGCTCTCGCGCGGCCAGAGCGAGATGCCGCAAAAGTAGGCGCCGAGCGG